TCACAATAAACGTCGTCTCAGCCGGAGTCGAACCTCCAACGGCGAGAGAATACGAACGCCATTTCAGCCAACACAATCACAATAAACGTCATCTCAGTCGGAGTCGAACCTTTAACGGCGAGAGAATACAAACGCCATTTCAACCAACGCCATCACAATACACGCTACAAATAGGTGATCAGCGCCATCGTGGATAAACGAATTCGGCCGCATCGTTTGAAAATGAACTCGGCCCTGTCGTTGGTGATGAACTCAGCCCCGTCGTTGGTAAGTGAACTCGGCCCCGTCGTTGGTAAGTGAACTCGGCCCCGTCGTTGGTAATGAACTCGGCCCCGTCATTAGTAAGTGAACTCGGCCCCCTCGTTGGTAAGTGAACCCGGCCCCATCGTTGGTAATGAACTCGGCCCCGTCATTAGTAAGTAAACTCGACCCCGTCGTTTATGAGTGGAGCCGGGGACGATCGAATGATGAATCAGCCTGGTGGAACTGGACTCGTCGGCGGGAGAATAATTAGTTGGCCCGATGGAATTGGACTTGATACTTGTGTTGTCCCCATCTGAGTGGTAATATGTTCATCTCGATTGTGGTCATCACCTCGGATTGCGGATGATTGACTGTACGATGGATTGATTCGGACGGCTAAGTGGTCGGCCCGGTTGCAATTTGGGGATCCGTCAGTGAACGATTGTCATCTCTCGTCCCTTCATTTTTTTCATTCTTTTCTTTTTATTTTTATATTTAATATATCTCTCTTGTTTTTTTGTATATATATGTATACATGTATATATTTATTTTGACGTATATGTATACATATATATATGTATATATTTAAAGTGAAATTGAGAGAGGGGTTGCCTTGGCCGGTGTAGGGCTAAGAATACTGTCGTTTGTAGATGCCGACTCCTCTTTTCCTTCAGTTCCTGCCGAGCTCCTCGACTTTGCAATTTTTGATTGTTTACCGTCTGGTGCTTTCGTCCTAATTCTATTTACTCTATCTATTACAATATTATTCAGGCCCAATTATTACGACACGTTTTAGGGACTGTCTTTACATCTTTTATAATCAAATACATAAGCCCACGCATACATTTATCACTAGGCCCAAGTTATTATCAATTTCTAGCAGAGTACAAAAGAAGTCTCCCTCTTTCCCTACGAGTTCCCACAACGGCAGATGTCACATTCCAGATCGGCGTTCTATTTCACTGCTCCGCTCAACTTTTCCGGTGAGCAGAGGTCGGGAATCAAATTCTAGGGTGTGTGACAGTCCTAATTTTTGAAATGAGTCACCGGGCGATTATCAATTGTGAGGGAAGGGATCCGACGGTCAAGGTCGGAGACGTCGGCCCGTTTTGAGGAGATCGTCCGACTTTGAAGTCGGGCTCAGAGATGGTGAGGTCGGGTTTCGGTGGTTGCGGTGTGGAGTATGAGAGCATCTCCAATGGCCTTTGGATTGCCCTTTCTTGTTGCCACATGGCACAAAAAATCCTATGTGGCCTAAAAAAATTCTAGAAGTCTTTCTAGATGTAGAAGTACTTCTAGACAACTTCCATTATATATTATATTACATATTCAATTTTTTTTATTTTTTTTCAACCAATTATAGATTTACACATGTCATAATAAATCATCATAAACATATTCCATTGGAGACATAATCTTTTAATCTCCTTTCTTCATGCTATGCAACCCAAAATGGACAACTTATCATTGGAGATGCTCTGAGCAGGTTCATTCTTGTCTGTGGAATTTGAGGTCGGTCCTCGCGAGTTTGTCGCTTTTTCGCGGAGTTTCAGGTAGATCGGTAGAGTTGCTCAAACCGGCTGAGGTCGATCGTCATTGATTAGGACGCTGATTGTTGCGAGGTCGGTTGTCAAGGATTCGGGCCATTCGTCTATTCGGCCCGACTATGGTGGGGAGATCCGAGCAGGTTTGGCTACTCGGTTCGGGAGACCGAATAGAAATGTTCGGCCCACTTTATCGGCGGCAGTTCGGCCCGCGGACTGTTGTCATCGATTTGTCTCGCATATGGTCGTCGATTCGGGCCCGTGAACGGTTGTCGGTTCGGCCCATGGAGACGGATGGTCCTGTTCGGTCCCGACGAATGGTTCTATTCGGTCGGTGAACCGGGACGGTTGTCATATGCCACTCTGTTTGGTCCAAGACGGTTGTCATATGCAACTGCTGTGGTCTTGAACCGGCGAGATCAGATTTTCTCTTCCTCGCTTTTCAGTTTAATGTTCATTGCTCCCACCATCAATGAAAATATGAAGTCAAAATACAAATTAAGAGCGGATAATCCTGTTAACTGCTTGCACAAGAAGAACTTTGGTGATGGTTGTTTGTGGTGCTCAGTACGTAGTTCATAAATTTGCAGAGTACATTTACACCCTCTTTTAGTTCTATTTTTTTATATATATATACGTATATAAACCTATCTTTTAGAATGAGATCTGAAATATATATCTGTATATTTCATAAGAATACTTATGAAAACGAGAATAGCGAGTGTGGGAATAGATTAGACTGAAAGTAAGAATAATCCCACCAGACTTTGTAGAGGTTTCTTTCCCGTGGAGATGTGGTCATTTTGCAGCGAGTGCCGGCCCTTCCTCTAGCGCCATTCTTGATGCTCGAAAATGTCAGCAACAGGGGGTGAACCGTATACTAAATTGTATACTCCGTTCAATCTGCACGAATAGATTTGTTCCGAAAATATAGGTTGAATCCCTCTTCCATTCGTGACTTTTTTTGTGTAAAGAATACATAAATTAAACTATATCCGAAAAGAAAAGCAAGAAGCCAAAGATGAAGATAAAGTTTGTTTTTTATTCATAATGCTCATTGGGAAAAGAATGCCCCTTATCTCTTACGAGATCTCTCCTTTTTGTAATCTCCTCTTTTGGAGATTTTATTTGGATAATGTTAGATTCTCTTGGATCCTCTAGTACATATACACATCACATCACAATATATGGATATCAATAAATATGGAATAAAATAATACAAATGATGTTTTAATGTGTTGTATCTTTATTTAGTCGTAGCCAAATTGGGTACCAACAAAAATATTATGTGAGGTGTGCTTGAGTGCTCACCAAAAAAAAAAAGTGTATTGTGTATTGTGAGTTGAGAGTGATAAATTTGTAATACGTTATTTGTATAATAAAATTAATTTGATGTGTTAATTTTGATTTTATTGGCCCATTGATTTACAACATTCTATAACAATCACTTTGACTTGGTGACAGAGAGCTATTAGAGAATTGCAAACCGAAGAGACATATATGAAAAAAAAATGGCCGAGTTCAAGCTAAACTAAATTAAAAAGGACAGGGTAATAAGCACATTCAGATAAAAGTCATTTTAACATTTTTTATTCTCCAGACAACATGTAAAACATTTCACAGTATATCACGTCATTGAGGTACTAAATTAAGCAGAACACAAAGAGTCTTGAGTGACCAAAGCCACCCTTATTGAAAACAACATCACTCAAAAGTAGAAAACAGTATAAAGGAAGCACAAATCAGATTGAACTGAAGTGTGCTCAGTTTCACATAACATCAAGCTCTTCAACCTGCTTTTATGTTGGTGTGGCTTATGTCCCTGCACAACAATTTTCAAAACATGAGAAAAAAATTATTCGTGAACTGCGTGTTTAATGTAGTGAGCTACTCACAGATACTGTAATTTGTCCAAACCAGCCGGCAGTGAACCCGAAAGGTCGTTGTACGATAGATTCCTAAGCATCAAACAAATGTATTATTACACATGATAAGTATGATTTGTGTAGGATAGTTTGATATTTGAGATTCATAATAAATCGAGCTTGAATGGAGTACGAACAGATATCGAAGATTTTTCAGGCCGACCAATTCTTTAGGTACACTTCCCGTGAGCTTGTTCACTGATAGGTCCCTGCACGTATCGATTTCGTATTTTAGAACACAACATTTGCAAGAGTGTAACAATTATATGATCCATAAATGGTACATTCTTTGTTTACATTACAAAGTGTGTTACTACATTGTGCACATTAAAAATAGGGTTAATTGCTTTAAAAACTCAACCTTTTTGCATTTGGCGATTTTATCCCAAACTTTGGATAAATGCAATATAATACTGGTCAGTATTGATATTGCATTTATCCAAAGTTTGGGATAAAATCGCCAAACGCAAAAAGGTTGAGATTCTTAAAGCAATTAACCCTTAAAAATATCTCCCAAATCACAAATCAAAAATTAACTCGATACTCACAGAGCTTGAATCTGGTGGAGATCACCGAATTCCGCAGGTATTTGGCCTGTCAACTGGTTCCCCTGCACTCGACTATACTCGAAAAAGAAGATGATTAAACAATTAGAACTAAATAAAAACAACAACAACAATAATAATAATAAGAATACAAGGTCAATGAAGATATTGGAAAAAAATGCGAAATTTTGCTTGTTAGAAATATAAGTGCACACAGGGAGCGTAAATTCTTCAGTTTGCCGAACGTGTACGGTATGGAGCCACTCAAGTTGTTATTTTGCAGAAGTAAGGCCGTTAGACTCTTGAGATTTCCGAGCTCTTGAGGTATTTCACCGTAAAAGTTGTTATCATTCAACAGCCTATCAAAATTGGGGAAGAAAAAACACACAAATAAACAGAGTTCTCCAAATCGAAAAAGTTTAAAAAGAAAACAATAATCAGCTAACTGTGATTTAGTCGAACACGAACATACAAGTTTTCCAAGTTCGTCAACTTGCTAAGTTCCGAGCCGAGTGTACCTTTTAATTCCAGTTGCCCAAGATTACTAAGGACAAAAAAAAATGATCGAAAGAGATTTAATTGAAGTAAATTAAGTATCGATGATCATCAACTCAACTCATGGACTTGTAAAAACATGTCATATGTTCTTACATGTTCACTGCGCTTTCTTGGCTATTGCAATTGACATGCCAAAACGTTCCTGCGCTAACGAGTAGAGGATCCCAGTTACTTAAGGCCTCGGATGGATCAGTTGTGATCCTTGCTTTAAAGGTAGTCAAGGCAGCAACTGTCAAACAAAGATCACCACAGCTTTAGATAGCAGAACGAAGTAAATCGATCAAGCTCGAAATCAACAAATGTTACATGGCTATGTTCAAAAAATAGCTTAGTGTATGATCGATCACACATTGTTTTTTCTTTCACTTGTGTGATAAAATTTCATGCAAAATCATTCATTAACACAAAAGGATCTATAAGAAAAAAAATAAATGTTCAAAAAAATGCTTAAAATTAAGCAATTACAAACCTTCCCCATTATCAGACATGGCAGTATGCACATTAGTGATGATTAAGCAGATGATCAAGAAGAGGGACAAAAGCCCCATGTTTTCATTACACCTATCCATTAATTCTCACAAGAAACACAGAAATCTTGAATTTTGTTTGGTCTTAATTTGATGAGAACAATGGGTAGATTATGTCAAAATAGCGTGTTGAAATGCTCGATATATATAGTAAATTTTTTTTAAAAAAACCCCGAGAAAACCCTAAGAAATCTTGGGTTTTTTTTTTTAATTTCAATTTTGATTCGAATGGATTTTACTTTTAGTGTTTTCTTTGGTTAGAATAAAGGTAATTATGAAATGTTTGACACTTATGTAACTAGTTGTGATATTTTGTTAAAAGACAAATCAATAAGGGGATTTTTAAGTGTTTTCTTTGGTTATTAGGATAGAGGTAAATTATGAAATGTTTGACACTTATGTAACGAGTTGTGATATTTGGTTAAGGACAAATCAATAAAGTTATTCGTAAATTATCTGCATAATTTATTTATTACTCATACATTATAGATTTGCTATCAAACTAGTATGTTTTTTGTGCGATACACGGTGTAATAATGATAAATCATATAAATTAAAGTAGCCAAGTAATATTGATTAGTATAACAATAGTTTTGAATATTAATTTTTACCCTTTACTTTTATTTTTATTATATATAATATGTTAATCTATGATTTATTTATTCTGTTTTGTTTTTAGGTCTCGTGTTTTCTTAGTCTGTTCTCTTTGTGTTCGTGTTTGTATTTAGGTTTGTGCTTTTGGTTTGGGCTGCTGGACTTTGTGCGCCCGAGTGTCAACTTATTATCCTGTTGAGATCGGACAATCGAGTATTATCCTGTTGGGATGTTTTTAGTAGTTTTCGTTTTGTTTGAGCAGTTGATTTTGTGTAATGACGAGTTTGCAGCGTTGCTAGGTCAGGCTCTAGGCTATCTTTTGGATATGCCCTCCAATTTTACCAGTCATTGGTTGTACTATTCAGCTTTTGGTTGTTTCTCTTCGCACTTTTTGCGCTTTTAATTTATATAATACCTTTATCGTTTTGGAGAAAAAAAGGAATATTTTCATAGAAACAACTGTGGAGTTATCTGACACTGCCTAAATGTAAAGGTGGTTTAGACTTTCAGGATATCCAACTGTGTAATGAGGCTTTAATTTGTAAACAACTGTGGATAGTCATTACCCAACCGGAGTTGCTGGTTAGTAAAGTTTTAAAGAACAAGTATTTTCCACAGTCATCAATTTGGAAGCAGACAGGAAGAAAAGTGCATCATGGCTTTGGAGAAGCTGACAAACAGTTATCCCTACCTTTTATAAGGGATTGCAAGTAGAAATCAGGAATGGTAAGCAGAGCTAATATTGAGGATGTCAATTGGATCCCAACCCTAGCAAAACAAAGGCCAGATCTAATAGAGATAGCTAGGGGTCATTTGATTTGGGTAAGAGACCTAATGAGTGAAGATGGTACTTGTTGGAATGAGTGGCTTATCAAACATGCGTTTTGGGAAATAAACAGTGCAACCATACTTAAAATCAGATCTTTGAATCCCAATATGGAGGACAAATGGAGATGGAACATGAGCAGGAGAGGTAGTTTAAAGTCTGTGCCTCATATTACTTAATGGATCTAAAATGGACACCCCAGAGGCCAGTAACAGAGATTCCCAGGGACAAAAAGCTAGGAACAGGCTGTGGAAATTGAGAGTGAAAGGGAAGATAAAACATTTCATTTGAAAATGTTGTACTGGCACCTGGCCTGTTAATATGAACTTGAGGAAGAGAGGGATGGACTTGGATTTCATCTACCAAACTTGGTGGGAAGGTACAGAAACAATAGAACATGTGTGCTTTCAATGTCCTAGAGCTACAAGGCTATGGGATCTGGGACCCGTCAAATGGGATAGGATCAACACTAAGACATGCTCTTTCAAAGAATGGTGGACATACATATGATGAACTGGTAAGGCTACAATCCATGAAGACAGAATTCAATTTTCCACTTACCTTCTATGGTGGTTGTGGAAAACTCGCAACATGTGGCTTTTCAAGCAGCAAAGGATTCCAGAACACTTGATCATTCAGGGTGTAGTAAGGGAATGGACATAATTCTCAATGGCTCAAACATCCTAGATGATGGCAGCAGGTGTTGTGTGGAGCAGTCTCTATGTTCGTTTTTCTTTTTCTGCTCAGTTTTAGTTTGTTTCTGTTGTAGGTTGGTTTTCTTGCTTACGCTTTGTTGTTTGTTGTGTCGTAGCCTTTGTTCTTGCGTTTCAGTGTGTAGGTGTTAGCAGATTTCTGAGTCTGTTTGTATGGTTTGTGTTTATCCCATTTTTGTGTCGTTTTTAGTCATTATTTACCGTTCTTTTTCCCCCGTATTGAGTCGTTTAGGTGGTTTTAGGATCTTTTTGTCATTTATTATGTGTTTTGCGTTCATTTGAGTGTTGCGGTGTTTTCCGTTTGTTTTCCGGCCTTTTTTTGTTCTCTTTTCATT